TGTGGGACACTGGAGTAGCCTGATTTATACCAAAACCAACCTGTGCGTGGTGGGGAGAGTCGTGTCTGGCTTCTGAGGCAAGTCCAGAGGGTGGTTCCAATGATGATTTCAGACCATGGGGTGCCAGGTGCTTAGAGGTGACATAGTGGAGTGGATCCTCAAAGGAAGGAGAAAGTGGAACGAAGGCACCAACGTGAGCCTTCTCTGGGAGCTGGAGTAAAGAGGCCTGGGCTAGATTAGTCTATGAGCTGGATTGTGGGTGGTGTGTGAAGTTCCAGCTGGGGAAGGCAGCCGAAGCTCCGCCCCTTCTGCTCAAAACCACGCCCCTTCCCGAGACCATGTCCCTTTACAACCTTTCCCCGCAAACCCCAGCCAAGCCCCCTCCGCAGCCCCAGCTGAGGGTCGGGGCTGCCATGCGGCGTGGCCCCAGTCTTCTCTGGCCGACGAGGAGCTGGACTGCCATGTGACATGGCCCCAGCCTTCCCTGGTCTGCGGGGAGCCATGTGGAATGGCCCCAGCCCCTTCCAGGCGGCTGGGCAGTGTTGGCAGTTTGGGGAAGGCAATGCTCACCCACCGCCCTTGAGCTGGGCTAGGCTAAGTCAGGTTGGATCCGCTGGGCTGGAATGAATTCAAGGGGGCTGGCTGGGCTAAGCCAAAGGATCCAATGACGAGACCAGGATGGGGTGGAGGGGGGAGGGCTGCACTCAGGATAAGGCCGGGAAGGGCGTGACTGTCCAACTGGTGAAGATTAACTAATGCAAGTGTCTCCCGTGTGGCCCCTAATGAGGAAGAGGCCTGTCCTGGAACCCATTAGAAGGGGGCTCCAAGAAGGATGTGATGCTGCTCCAAGTTAGCGCGGGAAGAGCAGCAGCGTCAGCAGCTCCCAAGCGACACCCAACACGGACAGCCCCCCCCCTCCACCCCGGAATGCCGGCCAGCTGCGCCGTGGCGGTGCAGCAGAGCTCGTTAGGGCTGCCGAGGGGAGGGGGCAGCGCTGGAGCAGCGAGAGTGCCAGAGGCAGAGAGAGAGGGAAAGCGAACTTTCTGACAAAGACGCAGCCGCTGTTACAAGAAGCTGGACTCTCTCCCCAGTACCGCCAGCCAGCCCATGTTCCCCAGCTCAGCTTATCAGAGTTGTTTACCCTGCAAAGAAGGCAATTTGCTCTATGAGCTTTACAGAACGAAGGACAGATGCCGATTCCCCCACCACCACCACGCCCTGCCGACTTCTCGTCTTTTCATTCCGTCCTCTCCACCCCTGCCCTGTGTCCTTTTTTCCATCCAACTCCTGAGGAAGAGCCAAGGCGCCTGAAAGAAAACCCCCAAATGACAGAAAAGCCACAGCAGCCATTGGGAATCTTTGCAGCAAGCCCAAGAGCTGACAGTCTCCAAAAAACGACCGACTCATACGTGTAGATTCACAGCAGCTGACTTCCTTCACGCCTTTCACCGTGGCCAGAAAGATGGCCTTGTTCCTCCACCACGAAAGGCACACCACAGATCCCGTCTGACAGACAGAGTCTCCAGTCAAGAGCAGTGTTTGTGCCTGTCAGACTGTCAAAGCAATCAGTTCAGCTGTATTCAAGTGAGGAGTTTGGTAGTATTTTAAATGAGAGACTCAGAAGGGTAGCTGGGTTAGTCTGCAACTTTAAAAACAATGAGTAGTCCTGTGGCACTTTAAAAACAAACCAACATCTCTAGAATGATGAACTTTTGTGGGCAAAACCCACTTCATCAGATGAATTGGAGTGAAAATAATAGAAACCAAGAGAGATAGTACCTGTCAATTGTAGGACCTGTGTTAATGAGGCTAATAAAGCAGGCTGGATGTGTCCTGTACATAGCAGATGCTAATGGCAGGAGTAATTGGCTTTGTAATGCCAGATGGTTACAAAACTAATCTCTTGGTTTCTGTTGTTTCCACGCTAACTCATCTGATGAAGTGGGTTTTGCCCATGAGAGCTCATGATTCTACATATTTTGGTTAGTCTCAAAGATGCCACAGGACCACTCGTTTTTCAATGAGAGACTGGTACGATTTTGGGCTCATGATCCCTGTCACTTCCCCTCTCTATGCTTCAGTTTTCCCACCCACCTCTTGTCTGTTTAGACTGTCAGCTTTTCATGGCAGGGACTATCCCTTACGATATATTGGCACCGTGCCCAGCGCAGTGTGGCCCTAATCTTGGATGAGGTTCACAGGGGCTCTGGTACTGCTGCCAAGAAATAGTATTGCATGAGATTGTCCTATTTTGCTTCCAGACAGAAATGACCTTCAGTGAGTAATGTAGCAAATGATTCATCCTGGCTGGAGCTTTTACATTTTTGAAACCGATCGATAAAAAGCTCCGTGGTATAAATTCTTTTTTCCATCTGGCAAACATCAACGTTCATGCTGCCCCTCTTTCAAAATAGCGAGAAAAAACCAGCAGAGCTCCCTGACCATGGTCTGACCTAATTGACTACCTGCCTCCCCCTTCCCCCAGCTCCGGTTGTCCCTTTGGAGCGGACCCAGTTCCCAGTTGCTAGCGAGCGGCAGAATCCCCAGGAGGAATTCTCACATTGGTTTCTGGGGGGCTGCACAAGCATGTAAGCTATTAAGTGCTACAGAGGCCAAATCGAACCTTTGGATTGCACCCGGCCAGAACTTTGGAGAGAGGAGGGGCTGGGCTTTGAATTTTGCTAGCAGCTGGTGCTACTGCAGCTGGGAGAAGTGCAGGACAGCTAGTGCAGGCAACAGCTCAGACTTGATCTCCCGGGTAGCTGAATACAGGCCCAGCCTTAGGGCAAGGCAAGCAAGGTGCTTGCCTTGGGCACCACACCTTCAGGGATTCACCCTCCACCCTGTTTAGTTCTTTAGCCTCTCCGCCAAGGAGTGGCAGTTGTAAAGGAGGTTTCGAGGCTACAGATCTGTAGATTGCAGGCTCCTTGGGGCAGGCACCGTCCTTCCTGAGTGTTTGAGAAGCATTTAGCATGTAGCGGGCACTACTGCAAAAATAGTATGATAATACTAATTAACAATGTGCCCACCGGCAGCTGGACTGAGATCTGCCAAGCAAGGACTCCCACCCAGCAATCAGGTGGGTTAGAGTTCCACTGATGCCCTTGGGGAGGCTGGAGGAAATGGGGTGATCTAAGTCCTCAACATTTCCAGGGCTGGAGTGAGGCATTTTCAGATTTAGAACCCCAGGAGTTGGATAAATATTGCTGGACGGGCCACTCTTGGGGGCTGAAGGACTTGACCAGGTTCTAGACTCCCAGCACCTGATATTGGATGGTGTTCCAGCTATGGGCTGGGTCCCCATGGCAAGAGCTGTATTCTTTGGAGCCGGTCTTTGGGCTGGATTCCCTTGGTGGGGGGGACTGTATCCATCTGTGGGTTGGGTGGCCCCAGGAGACTGTATTGGTCTGTGGGCTGGGTCCCCGTGGTGGGGGCTGTATCAGTCCGTGGGCTGGGTTCCTGTGGCGGGGAAGAGGGGGCTGTAATGATCTGTGGGTGAGGTGTACTGGTCTGTGGCTGGGTCCCTGTGGTGGTGGGGGCTATATCAGTCTGTGGGCTGGGTCCCCGTGGCAGAGACTGTATCGGTCTGTGGGCTGGGTCCCCGTGGCAGAGACTGTATCGGTCTGTGGGCTGGGTCCCCGTGGCAGAGACTGTATCGGTCTGTGGGCTGGGTCCCCGTGGCAGAGACTGTATCGGTCTGTGGGCTGGGTCCCCGTGGCAGAGACTGTATCGGTCTGTGGGCTGGGTCCCCGTGGCAGAGACTGTATCGGTCTGTGGGCTGGGTCCCCGTGGCAGAGACTGTATCGGTCTGTGGGCTGGGTCCCCGTGGCAGAGACTGTATCGGTCTGTGGGCTGGGTCCCCGTGGCAGAGACTGTATCGGTCTGTGGGCTGGGTCCCCGTGGCAGAGACTGTATCGGTCTGTGGGCTGGGTCCCCGTGGCAGAGACTGTATCGGTCTGTGGGCTGGGTCCCCGTGGCAGAGACTGTATCGGTCTGTGGGCTGGGTCCCCGTGGCAGAGACTGTATCGGTCTGTGGGCTGGGTCCCCGTGGCAGAGACTGTATCGGTCTGTGGGCTGGGTCCCCGTGGCAGAGACTGTATCGGTCTGTGGGCTGGGTCCCCGTGGCAGAGACTGTATCGGTCTGTGGGCTGGGTCCCCGTGGCAGAGACTGTATCGGTCTGTGGGCTGGGTCCCCGTGGCAGAGACTGTATCGGTCTGTGGGCTGGGTCCCCGTGGCAGAGACTGTATCGGTCTGTGGGCTGGGTCCCCGTGGCAGAGGCACCTTCTGTTCTATATGAGTGTTTGGTTCTCGGATGGGACCGTTACAGAGTACCAATTACATGCCCATCATAGCTGTCCTTTGTACTGGGGACTGTTGCAGGCCATGGTCCAGGTCCCTGTGGGGCTCTCAGGTGTCTGGGACTCCCTGGAGAGCTCTCCCTATCTATGGCCAGGGTCTCCTCTAGGGTATGGGTGGCTTAGCGGCACTGGGCAGACGCTGGCTAAATAAACAGCACTGCAAGTTCCTTCTTCCCCCTTTGTCCCTTTCATTAAATACCAAAAGGATTTAAGGCCGATAATACCAGGGGGGAGGCAGGAAAGCCTGGAGGACTTTTCCCTGCTCTGTGGGAGCCCAACGGTCACTTGGCTGCCTTTAGCAGGGCACAGAGAAAAGTGAAGGACCCCAGTTGGGGAAAGCAGCCTCCTGACCCTTAGGCATGGGCTTGGCTTCCCTGAACTGAGCACATTTAAGTGCTTTGCCCACTCCAGGCCCTGGCGAGAAATGGAATCCTTCTAAAAAAAAATCTATTTGTTAATTAGCTTTGTTTAAAAACACCCTCCACAGTAGAGGGAAATGTTATTAAATTCAAGCCCTTCGGTAGGCAGGCCGTGTGCGCGGATTAAATCCCCAGGAGCCTGGCTGCCAAAGAAAGACGTTATTGTTGTCATTTTTCCCTCCTTCCCACCCTCCCTCCTTCCCTTGCTCCCACCCACTTGGAGGAACAGAACCAGGGACAACACACACCCACACAGTGCTTCGAGCAGGCTCACTCCTGTCGGAGCTGAACGGCAGTGAGGAAGAGGAGGGGCGGAAAGAAACGTTCCTGGGAATTAATAACAGAGAGGCAGGAGGAGGGGCAGGTGCACACAGGTAAGCTCTGGGCAGGTGTTCTACGGGAGAGTGTTGTCAGCTGAACTGATTGCTACAACTGAGTCAGCCTCCTGCTTTTTCAGTGAGCGAATGTGATCATTCACTTTCCAACTTCTGTGAAAGTTGAAACAAGTTTTCTTTTCTTTTCTTTTCTTTTCTTTTCAGCTGCTGGATTCTTTCTTTCTTTCTTTCTTTCTTTCTTTCTTTCTTTCTTTCTTTCTTTCTTTCAAAAGTTGTTGGAGGCAGGCAGAGAAGGCAAGAAGGTACTGTGAACGCTGCAAAGCCAAAAGACAAACCCGTCTGTGAGATCATTGCAAATGCTGTAGACTGTTTCCATGGACGCATAACTTAGGAACCCTGTCTCTCCCCCACCTAGCACACCCACTCTTCCTGGCTCTCTCTGACATGTGAACGTTTTGTTTCTCGGCTGGACATGCAAAGCCAACGTGCCTAGTTACATGAAAGCTGCACACCTTTAATCCTAGCACAGAGCAAGAGTTGCCCTGTGCTAGAGAGAGACAAATATGGAAGGAGTATAGGGAGAAGTGGAGGCAAGATTCCCTCTGCTACAAAGTCTGGATTTTTACTTGATGGGGAAGTTAACCAAAACTTTTGCCGTTTTATCCTCAGCAGACATCGGCATGTAATTGATTCCTCTTCTTCTGTGCTAGACAGACATGCTCGTTCAGATCAGATTGCAGAAAACCTTAGTAGGAGTTTCCCTGGGGGAGGGGAACTCCAGAAATCGCCGCACTCGCAAGTGGGGGGGCTGAGGGGTGTGGGTGTGAACCCCCCCCTCCCTCTCTAAGTGGATAGATGGGAAAACACCACACTGTTTGGTGTCCCTGGGAAGGAGTGATCTGTTCGGAGAGAGGTGTGAGGGGCATGCCCCTTTCCTTCAGGCAGCTGGATTTCGACTTGAATTTCGGAAGCGCAATCCGAGATCAAACCCCAGGGTGGATTCCTAGATGGATCACTGCGAGGGAAAGGAACCCAGGTTCCCCTAACCAGATCGTCCCAATGGTACAGAATTGAGGCTGGTTCTAGGCATGCGGCGAGGTTTCACCCGTTCATTGGATGGCTCGCAGCGTGTCAATCCGATACTGCCTGGACACTCCGGATCCAAGAGAACCAAGGCTCTGAGTCCCTGCTCGGGCAGAGAGAACAGAGAAGTGTAAAGACCCTGGCTGAATCCCTAGGAAAGAGAGAATGTGGGCTTGCAGGAGTAGAGACTCCAGTCTTACCAAAACCTCCTCACTGGGTGGCCCGAGACCAGTGTGGCCTGGGGAAAGGGTGTGTCTGTGCTGGTACGGTGGGGAGGGGGACCAATTCATCCTTGTGACTCGGGGTAGGGATGGCAGCTCGAAAGACGGAAGCTGTTTTCTTCGACCTGGGCTGCACTTAAAAATGAGACCGGTTACCTCCATCGTGCTGGGTTGTGGAGCATTTTCTGCACTGGGTGATGGAGGGAGGGGGACTGACCTCACCCTCCATGGGAGAGCTGGCTTTGCCCCTTCCAGTCACTGTAGGAAGTGGAATGAAGGAACCTGAGGTCCCAGCCAGTGCTCCCTGTAAGCAGAGCCCTTGGGAGGCCACTCACGAGAGATTCACATGCCACCCAGCTGATTAGCAGAGCACTAGCCAGCAGCATGTGTTTCTATTGATGGTGCCCATCTGCGCTTGCCTCGGTGCATGTAACAACATGTATTCTGCACACGGCTGGAAAAAATTGGAGGGAACATTGGTCCCAGCCCTCCCCTATCAGGCATTTGATTCCCTCCCTGCTCTGCCCTGCAAGGCAAAGCACCCAAGATGGCTTCAGGGGGATTGTTTTCATCTCTGCCAATCACAGACCCCAATCAGCCTGGGACGTCAGGTCCTAGTCAGGCGCCTGCCCCAAAGCTGCTTCCCTGGCTCCGTTCATTCAGCGTGTGGTCCGTACTGCCCTTCCCACTAGAGGGGGAGAAGCTGAGCAAACGGGTCTGGAGAGAGCTTCATGTGTACTAGGGCAGCTCTTCTGCTCCTTGGAAGAGCCCATAGGAGGACTCTCCCCGATCCCAGGAAATTGGATATTAGGAAAAACTATTTCCCTAGAGGGTGGTGAAGCACTGGGATGGGTTCCCTAGGGAGGGGGTGGAATCTCCATTCCTAGAGTTTTTTAAGTCTCGGCTTGACAAAGCCTTGGCTGGGGTGGTTTAATTGGGGTTGGTCCTGCTTTGGGCAGGGGGCTGGACTTGATGACTCCTGAGGTCTCTTCCAGCTCTAGGATTCTATGATTCTATGACTTTGCCTGCATCAGAGTGCAAATTCTCATTCCTGAGAGAGAGAAAGTTGGGGCGCGGAGCTGCGGCGCAAAAGGGGAGATGAGGGAGAGGCCCTGTATTTGCTTGGGAGACGCAGATCCCATGGCCTCCTCGTGCCTGCCCTGCCAGCTCCACTCTGCCTGCCGCACAGAGCCAGCAATGCAGCCTGGGGAACAGAGAGGTTCTGGTGTGGGGCCAGGGGAGACCGAGAGACAAAGGGAAAGGCAAGGGGGTAGGGTGAACCTGACCCACCGCAGGCCAAAGGGGACTTCCTACAGAACTCAACGCAGGCTCCTCAGCAGAGGGGGCAGAGGAAGATGATGCAGGGTGGGGGGATAGGGAACTTTCAGGGGCACTTCTGTAAACGCCGCCGCACCTAAATGAGGAAAGAGGAGGGAGGAATTTCTGCTGCATCTAACTGAGGATCTGTGCCCCTGAGCACTCATGTGCATGCTCAGAAGCACACCCAGCCAGCTGATCCTAGGTCGTTCCACACAGGACACCCCCCCTTCATGTGCAGAAGAAACATAAAACCTTCCCTGCAGGAAAAAGCCTTGCTTTTGGTTTCTCCCGCCAAAACCTACGAGGAGAATTGACTTGGTTGCATCGTGTCTCTGTTCATAAAGATACTTTGGGGACATCTGAGTGAGAGGTTCCTTCATCCCATCCCTGTGCTTGAACAGCACGCCGCAGGCATGATTAATATAAACTCTGCTCTACCACTGAGCTCTCCAGCCCAGCTGAATCAAGGAAACTCCTCTTTTGTGTAGATTAGAATCCTCAAACCAGCTGGTTGGGAAGCCCAATCCCCGGACTCTGATTAGTTGAGGTAAAAGATGGACAAAAGGGGTGGCCAATGAGAAAGCTTTACTGTTCTTTTTCTAGGGTGCCCTCTGTTTTAAAGGGACAAACACATGCTCTGTCCCTGTCTGCTCATCACAAAAGCTAAGTAGCTGGAGGTGGGGGGAGTGGTCGGTTAGGCTGCAGGGAGGGGTCGGAAGTTGGGGCTCTCAATGGAACTGCCGTGAGTGAAGGGAGCAGTGAAAGGGAAACTTGCTCATTGAAATAAAGGGGAATAGTCCCATGTACCACAGAATGAGGAGAAGGAGGGACTTGGAGCAGTTTCTCCCCCCTTTCATCTGGTAAAGGCCCCCACCCCTGATTCCAAGTCACACAATTTCATGCCTCCTTCTCTGGGCACTCAATCATGGATTTAAAAGTAGCTGTTGTTCAACAAAGGAATGTCACTAACCAATTACAAGAAAGAGTCTGCAGAACAGGAATCCATCTACAGATTTGTGATAGAGATGCAGCCGTGTTAGTCTGGTCTTGCTGAAACAAAGGACAGGACTATGCAGCACTTTAAAGACTAACAAGATGGTTTATTAGGTGATGAGCTTTTGTGTGCCAGACCCACTTCCTCAGATCAATATGTGGAAGAAAATTGGCACAACCGTATATAACAAAGTGATACAATCAAAAAAAGTGAACACATAAAATTGACACTCTTACCCTGTTGGTGCATTACAAAGCCAATTTCTCCTGCCTTTACCATCCGCATTCCCACATCAAAAGCGATACATGGGATACATCCAGCCCACTTCATTAGCCTCATTAACGCGGGCCCTACAATTGGCGGGTGGTGCTTCTGCTGTTCTGTAGCTCTCTTGGTTTCTGTTATTTCCACTCTGTCTCATCTGAGGAAGTGGGTTTTACCCCCAAAAGCTCATGATTCTAGATATTTTGGTTAGACTGTAAGGTGCCACAGGACTACTCATTTTTAAAGTTACAGACTAACATAGCGACCCCTCTGAGATCCTTCTCTTTGGTTTACCCTGAAAGTAACTGCAAAAAAATGTCCTAATGAAAGCACTGCTAGAGACTGAGGGAGTTGGGTCTGTTTAGTCTGCAGAAGAGAAGTGAGGGGGCATTTTATAGCAGCCTTCAATTTCCTGAAGGGAGGTTCCAAAGAGGATGGAGAAAGGCTGTTCTCAGCAGTGACGGATGGCAGAACAAGGAGCAATGGGCTCAAGTTGCGGTGGGAGAGGGCCAGGGTGGATATTAGGAAAAACTATTTCCCTAGGAGGGTGGTGAAGCACTGGAATGGGTTCCCTAGGGAAGTAGTGGAGTCTCCATCCCTAGAGGTGTTTAAGTCCTGGCTTGACACAACCCTGGCTGGGTTGATTTAGTTGGGATTGGTCCTGCCTAGGGCAGGGGGCTGGACTCGATGGCCTTCTAAGGTCTCTTCCAGTTCTATGGTTCTATGATTCTATGCATAATTGGGGGGGGGGGAGGAGGGTGTTTTGAGAGATTGGCAGAGAATCCCTGGCACTGAAGGCTAAGGGAGTGTGCAGAGTTGGGGTGTGGGATTGTCTCTTTAGATTGTAATTCAAATCTTCAAGGCCTCCTCATCCCCTGATTGCAATGCAGGGTTTCCTACCTCCAGGGGTTGCAACCCACTGGTAGAGAAACTCTCATTTTGATATTTAAATTGCAGATTTCAAGGCCCCCCCATCTCAAAACCCTCAGGGCTGACTCAGCCTTTCCAACAGTTTAGGCTCCGAGAACCATGCAATTTGCTGTAATGCCGGCAGATTGTTTGGGAAAACGTGAAAAAATTAAGTTCTGGCCTGTATGTTAAAGCTGCCAGCGCACTTTTCAGAAGCATCCTTGGTCAAAATGTTGTTGCGCTGGTTT